ACGTCTATGGCATACTTGCACTATGCTATGGATGTCCTTTTAGCAGACATCAAATAGGTTACACTCTTTATTTGCGCCCAGCCAGGGCAGCGCAAGCACATCTGCAGACAACACTGCTTTCGTGTTCTGTCGCACAGGGGACAAAGGGGATCAAGGGCAGGGAGAGATTCCCTTGAACAAAATCAGCAATGGTGTGAGCAGACTGACATTTAGAGATATCAGAAGCAGTAGTCATAGCATCTCCTGACATGAGCTTATAATCAAGTGCTTTGCTCTCCATTCTATTCTTTTTTTTTGACAAAGTATTACAGTTTTGGAGCATAAAATTATGCCCTGTATGAAATTCCCAAACAATATTTTATGAGCGATCTAACTCCAAATAGCCTAACTGCCCCCAAAGATTTCAGATTCTCTTTATCCACTTGAACTCATTCCTTTCTAAGGCTTCACTTATACTTGTACTTTCTAAAGCTAAATAAATGAGATTTCTTGTTTTGTTTTGGGGAAAAAAAGGAACATAACCTTTTCTTTATACCTTTCAAAGGCAATCTAGGTCCCTTCAATGTGCAGAAATCAGTTATGACATAGGTCTATACAGGCCTCCGTATTTGTCCTCCTTTTCTAGAGAGTCATGATGTGATGCTAGAAAAGTTGATTTTTTTTCTGTAAACAGTACACTTACTTAGATGGCAGTGAATATTTGGGAATAAATATATCAAGCCCTCTTGAAGAAAAATTAAGAGTTGTATATAAAATGCAAGTGTTCGGCGTGGAAACACTTTCTCTTCCTAACCCCCCTTTTAAAAAAACAGCATAATTAGACATTTGGATATAGAGTATATTTTACCGGTCTAAGTCTAAATAAATGATCTGAAAGGCTTTTGTCCCCCATTGTATATCTTACAATGCTCAAAGGGTTAATACAAGGCATTACATCCAAGGGGTTTTCTAATACTAGAACCAAGCACTGAATTAATGCTTCTATTCCAGTTTTTTTTTTTAAATCACCAAACTTGCAGAAATACTATGATTCCATTACTTGATTTGTTCTACCCATATACATGGAGGTTGCTCTGATCTAGCGACAAACCCAATTTTCAATAGCACTGCATTCCAACCCTCCTCCCCCATGCCCTAGTGTGATTCATACAGATCACAGAGCTCTCATTTCAGTTTTTGATGGTTGTTATTTTCTCACCAAGAATGTAAGGGGGGGGGTTATAACAAAGGTCAATTTATTGTATATAACCACTGCCTCAAATTGTACACAAAGGTGACTTGCCAAGTTTTTCACTTTCTACTTGAGTCCACACAGAGAGGACCAACATCACAGTGACACACATTTTTTTCTTTTACACTATTGTTTCAAGCACAGCATTATTTTAGACATTTCAAATATATCTGAGGAATTTTTAAAAATTTGAAAATGCATTTAGCACTTGTAGACAGTGCATTCCTGTAAAAAGGTTTATGATTGCGGCACTGAAACCGCATTCATTCCTGAATGACTTTCACAGCATTCTACAAAGACATATTCGGTTTTACTTATCTACTACAAATCAAAGGCAGTCAATGTTGCACACTATTGATTTTAGGTATGCAGTGTTAAAATCATTTCCTAAATTTTACGTTTGTTTTTAAAGTACACCATCTAAAGAGAGGTGCATAAACCGTGCTATACAGTACAAGAAAAAGCACAAAAAGGAAAGCAGATTTCTGAAAAGGCAGTAAGACTTACACAGTCAGTCCAAACATAGTTTGGATGAAAATCCTGAATAAGTGACCAGCAACTTGATATCCAAAGAAAAATTCAAAAATTGGGCCCTGTGTTCCAAGGCAATGGTTCATCCATTCCACCCTATTGTTCACTGGTTTCATGAATGCCAATCTTTGGGGTATGATTCTCAGAGCATATGTCAGACTATACCCATAATATTCAATCCTATCATATGGAAATATCTTTTCTGAAACTTAAACATAGCCAGCATACCTTCTTTACATTTTTCGTCCATGAAAATGTAGCACTTGGTTTATGTAGTTGTATTTCATGACTAGAGTTTGATTATAATGCCAAGAAATACCAAGAAGTCCTTCAAATGTTTACTTGTGTCACTTGGTAATAAATCTACTACAAGGGTATTAGAGTCTAATATTTAGCTACAGTTTTGATGAATTAAAAATTGGAAAAAATAGATGCAATAGATGTGACTGTTCCAATTTGCTCCTGTATAAACTATTGTTTTTATTTTCTAATGTATTTCACAATCGAAATCTGAAATTGGTGAAAATGTTTTTGAGTGTTATGTGTGTGTCTTATTGTGAACTATGAATAACTGGAATTAGCATAAGCCATCAGCATTCTTTTCTGTATTTAAATATTTACACTAGCCACAAAGAATTAATATTCCTAAGTATTCGTAAAGGAGATCATACTATTTTTATTGAGTCAAGTTCAAATGTAATAGTATTTTTTAGTTCTTCATCTGTCCTAATTTAGAACAAACCATGAACAACTGGAAGAAATGTTGAATCCTGGAGAGTCCCCAATCTCTAACTCTCGTCAATATAAATTTGCCCATTATTATCAGATTCCTCTAATGATACAAATATATCAACATTAAATTAAGGGAAACAGTGATAATAAATACATTTGAAGTTATTCAACATACAAAATGAAACCAGTAAATACATTTGGTCCAATACAGATATAGCATCATTCTGGGGATAGTGGGTAGAGACAGGAAACTGAAAAAACTCAGAAAGGAGAGCCAAAATGAAGTGTTTTTTTAATTTTTTGATGCTAATTTTACCTGTAAACATTTCCTAATGTTCCTACAATTAAGTAGATACATGATCTTTTGCAGCTTGTGAATGTTTTGTTTTACCGTGTGTGTGGGTGAGTGTGTGTGTGTGAGTGTGTGTGTGTGAGAGAGAGAGAGAGAGAGAGAGAGTGATGGTGCAAATTCATTGCCTTTTTGAGAGGAGAAGGGGGATGGTCATTTAAATGATAGATAGATGAAGGTGATGTTAGGATGCTGATGAAGGCTTCCAAATATATGACTGAGTTGTATAATATAAAATTTGAATTAATTTAAAAAATTACATCTAAAACATTTAAATTTTACTTAAGAAAATTTGTTGATCTTATTTGAGTAGTCTGAGGCAATTGAGCAACAACAGTTAAATATGATGCATATTACCCAATTAGCCATTTGGTATCTCTAACTTTACAAATTGGCTCACCCTCTTCTTTCTAACCCCTCCCCTTCCCCCCCCGCCCCAATATAACTGGAAAGATAAACATCTTGAGTTTAATATAGGCCTTATTAATAGACTGTAAATCATTTTGTGCTTTCCTTTTTTTTTTTTTTTGGCTTTATTTATTTATGCTGATTAGTTTTTTACAACTATTTAAATGAATGGATGTGCCTTTTTTGTTTTTATTAATAATTTGAGTGCTTAAAAGAACCTTGACATTTCGTGCAAATTAAAATGGGGATGGGTGTATAATCCCTAGGATCTCAACCTTCTGACTTTGTAGCAGACTCCTGCCCCACGGGCACTCACGTGTGTGCATGTGGACACACTGACACCTAGACACACAGACAAACATTTAGACTGAAAAGATGCACTTCGATAAGTACCTGCTTGTTTTGTTAACTTCTAGGATTGTAACTAGATAAGAATGGTCTAAAACATATTTGATTTTATGTAACAAGTTGGTATTAAAACTAGCCTGCTATTCCACACCCTTAAGCAATCTGATTTGTAATCAAGTAATATTCAGCTCTAGAATAAAAAATAGGTTCACGGTCACTCAAACAGGGAAACTAATTTTTGTCTTTTTGTTTTGCTTTGTTTTCCTTAAATTTCCTTTGAAGAACATGTAACCTGTCCTTACTTCAGGAATCTGAAAATGACAGGCACACTTTGTCGAATGGATTGAAGAGTTATTCACATGAACAAAATAAACCTTACTAAACCTTAGCTTCAGTTCTGTTTTAAGGCACCATGTAATAGCCGAGGTACGATGATCCCTGATGTACATTCTTCAATGGCAATGGTCCATCCAGCCACCTATCCAAATCCTACAGAATTGGGGATAAGTAACAGTGAGGTGTGCCAGTTACACTGCCTTCAGGTTCTGTTTAAAATTTAAATCCACATACTTTAGAAACCAGGAAATATTTTTGAAGGAAATAACATTATGCAGGTTGCTACATTCCTTGCATTCTATAAATTTTCTTTTATAATAGCAGCATATTGAACTACTATTAGGAAAAAGACCTGGAATAAAAGAAAGTCATCCAAATGGAATGGTTTCCTGTATGTCCAGCTCAGCATAAGTAGTATGTACACTTAAAAAAAAAAGTCAAGTCATTTTTTTTCAGCTTCAGTATCTAACTACAACAGCCCCACTTAACAGCAGAATGCATCTGTGCAGTGGTCCCAAATACAGAATCAGTAGTCTTTAAACAGAGGAATTGGTATGCAAATGATAGTTGAAATTCAACGTTTAACGGAAGCTTGCATTGTTAACATGGTTTAATAATTATGTACACAAATTATGTACATATTAGCATAATCTCTTGTAATTCTGTCATTTACTCTGAACCAATAAATGTACAGCTCAATTTTTCTACAGAGAAAAATAGATGACCTTTCCAATCCTCTAGCACTATAATAAAAATGTTCTGTATTCTCTCTCCATACTCCAAAATGTTATCAAAATAGTGTCTTATGGTTCTGTCCAATGAAAAGCACCTTTCAAAAGCAAATTTGATGCATCTGCTGCCAAATGGGCATGCCTCCAGTGTAAATCAAAGAAATTCATTTCTTTTGATATTTCACAGAAGTGCATCTAATTAAAAAACTTACACATGAAATCATACACCAAGACTAACAAATCAACAATAAAATATTTTAAGCTACAAAAATGTAAATTACTTTTTAATTATAAGAAAACAAAAACATTGACATTAAGTGTTGTAAAAATCCTTCTTGACACCTGAAACTAAGGGGAAAATATCTTATTAAGAGGCAAATAATTTGTTTATGTTAAAAAAAAAAAAGACCTGGCAAAATACATACACCCATTCCATTTCACAACTCCAAAAAGGTAATGTTCAGCACAGATAGAATTTGACAACAGTCGACCTTCAGGCTTATTAAATTTTCAACTTAAGCCCAATATCAACAGGGTTAATGTAAGCTGGAAAAATACGCTTTAATATTCTTTAGACTGCAGTGTAGGTATTTCCCGTAGCGCTGCACTGCCTGATAGTCTGAGTACTTGTGACGATGTGCTCACTGTGAATTGGATTCAGGAGGCTTGGTTGCACGCCACTCTCAAGAACGGGCTGCATACAGCCCACTGGAAATGCCTGGCTCAGCTCTGTTTTCTCTCTTTTGGCTTGAGGCTCTGAAGAATCATCCAGTTCTTCATCCATTTCACTTTCCACTTCACTGCCTTCATCTACACAAACAAATAATACCAAGACTATTACCACAAGACAAGGCAGAAAATCGCAACTAACATGCGCTTCAGAAGCACTTCTATACAGTACATTAAGAAAGCAACTTCTTGGCTCTTTTCAAAGGCTTGTAGGTTTTGCTTTCATCAGATTTTACTCATATCAATGTTGAATTGATGTACCTATAAGTCTTTCAAACAGAGAAAACACTATTTTTGGCAATTTGTGACTGATACTTTAATAGCTCTTTTAAGATGACCTTTGAAATTTCCTAAAGCATCTATATTATATAGTGGCACAATCTGTGTTATTCAATGGATTATGCTGACTTTTGGGGGATGTATTGGGCTGAAAATGTTAACCAAAAATTTTTTTATTTCCTCCAAAAATCTACATTAAGTATAAATTTCATCTGTGCTAGATTTAATGTAGGTGAGCCCTTGCTGATTCATAACTATTGCCATGTATAAGCAGGAACTGTTATAGAGAATTCTGGGCAAACATCAATGTTACAAATGGCCAAAGTACTTAATTATTATTATACAGAATTATGAAGACTGAGGCAGTAGTATCAGTTTTAAAATGAGCAGTAAATTTCCATTCCTGGCAACAGTGATACTGTTAATAGCTGGTATTCATTTCTAGAAATTAGTCACTGTTATTCACAAATTGTAATACATTTTATATTAACTAAAGCATCATTATAATGGAATGCCATTTAATTTTTTTGGTATGCACCATTAAAATTTAGAAGTATAGCAGAGAGAGAAAATACACACACAGCTTTACTATTGTGTAAATTCTTCTTACAAGAGTACTGAGACTATCTCTTCATGAGCAATAATTTTTAAACAGTGGTATTCTTGCCTTAAAAATCTTTACTTCATCTCAACATGTTCTATGGTTTACCAATAAAAGACAAACACGTAACACATCATACACCTCATGTAACTAAGTATATGTAGTGTGTGTGTGTCAGGGTATCCATAAAGTTTGCGTACAATTTAAAATTTACACACCAACTTTATGGCCACCCTGTATATGTACATACGTCACACTTACTTTTGGATATTTCCTTTAGTATAGTAGCTTGTATAAACAGAGTTGAACCTCCATCCTAGTCTATTCTGTGGCATATCACACACAGTGAGGGTGTAACAAGTACCTCTACAGCGAGATTAAGTTGGTTGGGCTCATTGTAAGCAGTGTTGAGTCTAATTTTAACATTCAGAGACACCCACAGCAGAAATCTCTGCTAATACAGTGCTGTATATAAATGGGTCCCTTGACTTTTCTTCTCTTATTATTAATTGGGGCAAAGAAGGTTCCAGAGAAAAGTGACCAGGAATAAAAGTGCCTCCACAGGTGGCTGTGCAGTGTGCTGTCACCTGGTCTGAGAAACCAGGTATTTGTGATTAAAGAGCTTAACATGCTAACAATGATGTCTATAATGAGTTATTCGGCAATAGAACAAAGAAGCACCCTTAGATGAGGTACAAAGACGGCTCAGCGCACCTATCCTATCCAGTTACAATTTTGCTTTTGGAAAATGAGCTTATGATAGTATTAGAGTTTGTCAGAACAAGCATATTTATCCGGAGGGCAAGGGCAGGGGACTGTGGGGGAAAAGGGACACCTTTAGTAAACATCTGCTTCATCAAGAGGGTAGAACTGAAACCTGTTTGTATGATACTTATTTGGTTTATGCGCGTATGTAACATATAAACCAAATCTGGAAGGATCTTCACACGGACTTGTAAAGGCAATATTGTCTCTTACAGGTTGTACTTGTGAAGCTTTACTTTTTATAGTTTTAAATTCTCTGTATTCTTTGAAATTTTTATACAAAGCCAATAGCACTTTTTTTATCAGGTAGAAAAACCCTCATTTTGTAGAAAATGAGTATGATTTCACATTCAAATGTTAGCCCCTAGTAAGCCAGTTTGACTATGTTTCAACACACGTCAGGTCTGGGATTGAACAAGACCAACAGAGCCATGTCAAGAAGGAGAGGCCAAGTTCTACTGTTTCACAGCTCTCTCACCACTAACTTCCCTGCCTGGGAAATAGGTGTCAAGATAATAAAAGAGGCAGCACAGAAAGGGAAACAAAATCATTTTCAAGCAGGTAGAGATGTAAGGAGAGAGTGGGGATGAGTACTTAAATGTTCCATTGGTACCAACAGGGTATCTTTGTCAAACCAAACTTAAATATTCCAGGTTAGTTTTACTTAGGCCCATCATTTCTGGGTGATAGGGTTCCTTTGGATAGCCTAGAAAAGCAATCCATAAAAGCCTTTTCCTCAGTTTCTCTGGACAAACACATGCCATTCTGTAGACATTTTATGCTGCTATACAGATTTTTAAAAAATTCCTAGGACCCTACATGAGATTAGGGTAATTTGGTACACAAAAATTAATGTTAGGTGCTGCTGGAGTTTACCAAGGACGTTGGTTCAGCACTGTAAGAAGAGTGGCCTGGATTCGGTCTTTGGCAGAGTAACTTCACTCCTAATGTACCTCTGGGAACTCAGAGATGAAATCCCCAAATGTGGCTAGGAGGATTTGGTGTCAGTGTATTACCTGTGGTACATGGGTTTCAATTGCCACCTTTCTTGTACCAAAATTGCAAATTAGCATCACCATTGATTTGTTTTTCTAAAGGTTATTTGGTTAATCTATACAATGTACATTTGCTGCAACAATATTTTCAGCTGTAATTTTTTAATTTTCCTTTTTTCTGCTCTATATGTTACTAAAATGGGAATTAAGGCATGCATAATTGTTAAATAGAGACTGACAGGAGTTTAATGTGACAGTGATGCTGATTTGTATGGGACACTCCCTAGCATATTAACGTTTTTTTACCACCAAGGCACAGAAGCTGAACGCTGCTGGGTAGTTCAGTGCAGCATGCCCTGGAGAACAGCTCTGTACCTCTCTGCAGACTCCCCAGGCCTTCCTACTCCCCACTGACTTTGGCCTGGAAGGGCTAATTGTATAGTTCTCTCCAGTCTTCATGTACAAATCAATAACCATAACAATTCCTTAAAACCTCAATATACCTTCCCTCCCCCTACCCCCTTTTAAAGAAAGAGCTCTATTTATGGCAGTATTTATTTGTTTAATGAAAATCTGTGTGTTTTAAAAACCTGTACTGTCATTTTTAACAGAACTGTTTTTATGCTCTGCTTATGAAGTTGGACAGGATTCGTACCCCAAGCTTTCCTTGTTCTTTCTATCATGTGGTTCTCATGATGAGTTTCTTCAGGAATAAATATCATGACATCATATTATACCATACATTAGAATAGCAATGCTGGCATTAAAATCTCAGAAGTATATTTGTTATTTTCTTCATCTCTCTCTCCAATGATCTTGCTTTTACATTATACTTAATTGTCATCTTTGAGTTCTTTTTCCACTGAAAAGTGTGAATTGGTGAGATCGGCAGGCTATGAAATCTTTTCTTGCGTGGTGGGCCTTGAAGAAAAATGTCTGGCCCAATTTTATCACTTCTCTTTGGACGGCCACAGTCAGAAATAATTTCTTGTTATTTGTAATGAACTTGAGGCAAAAAGGGTGAAAGAGTTTATAACTAAAGTTAAACTCAACTCTGCACTTAATAGACCTCACATAAAGAAGGCATAGGGATGAAGAGATGTGAAGAAATAATGAAGGGTTCCAGAAGACACCACTGTCATTAGCTAGGATTTGTACACCACTTCCACAAAATCAGAGTGCTAGAGACATATACTACATACTCCTCTGTAAGAATTTCTCAGTTAAAAAAGTTCCTAAACATGTACATTATGTTCAATTCTTACCTTTATCCAGATTCCCAGGAGACACAGCATTTAAATCACCAAACTGCAAAACAACAGTCATTTGTGCACTAGTTACTATCAGGCAGAATAAAATAATATTATATTAGTGTGCAGTAAAGAATATCACTCTATGACGTTTTAAAACTGTAAACTAGTGGCCATTTTGATCTCTAATCACATGGGTCACATGATTTTGCAATCAAACTTGTGGAATTTGAGCAGTTTAAATTATGTCACAATTTAGCTGTCTTCGCCTCTTTTGCAGAAGGATAGCAATTTTCTCTGCCTTCCATTTTCCATTTTACCTTTTATTATTTCAACTCAGCAATGAAGAGATGTGGGCTTGGGTGAATGACCTGGATGAAGGTGGATGTGATGAAGTAAATTTGGAAAGGCCTGATCAAGCAGGACACATCAGTCTACTCCCCAGGCTTGGCTGATGAGTTCGCCTGGAGTGGCTACATTAGAGAAACATGGTCTAGCAGTTTGGTTGAACTCTATTTTTAAAGCTTTTATTAGTAAAAATAAAAAATATAATGGAAGCTTTGAAGTTGAGATTACTTATTTTTATAATTTTTAAATTTGAAACAGTTTTCTTGTAATTTGATATTCTTATTTGCAGACATAATAGGGTCTCCATTTGAAAAAAGAAGGTATCTGATCATTAGATCATTATGAATGCAGACCAAAAAAAAAAAGCTTAAAACAGTGTGGAACAATTCATAACCTTCAGATAAGGTGTTATTTTCTACCTTGGTTCAGAAGCTTAATGATAATTTTATATTGACAAAACACATTTTGAGAGTTTCAAGGTAAACAAAAATAGATACACCAAAATAAAAATTGAATAGTAGAGGTAACAAAGTTAATCAGAGAAAGGTGAAATGGAACTGCAAAGCATTTTTAAATGAAAAATAATCAGATCATGATCAGTAAGTCACGATCAGAAACAGACTTACAAAGGATGAGATAGAAATTCTATTTACATTTATCAGTTTGTTTATAAAGAGTTCCATGATAGTATTTTTTTCGTCTATAAGGTATGTCTATAATGTAATAAAACGGATCTTATTTTGCAAACATACACACATTTTCCCCCATCTAGACAAGTACTGCTCTCCATGGAGGCCACCTTTGCAGCTTACACATTTACTCCAAGGTTAAGGTTCAAGAATTCCTCTTTGACAATCAATTTTGAGAGTTAGTTTATGCATCACTTAAAGCCCAACTTGTTTTATCCGACTGTGGCTCCAAACAACCCTCCACACTTCAGTCAATGCCTTTGGTCCCGGGGTGACTGCTGAGTACTCACCAAAATAAATTTCATACTCTTTATTATGTCTCAGCATTTCGAGGCTGTTTAAAAAGAAGCATTCCAAAACAACACAGAGCCATGGCAGTACTTCTGGAACAAGAGTGTAGCCTTCCTAGGTGACTGCTCAGAAAGGGACCAGGGTTCTCTTGGACATGTAACTACTAGTGTGTTTGTTTGAAAGTCTACCCCATTACTTTACAGGTACGTCCCACTAGGCAACAAATACCATCAATGCTGAAGTTTTGAAGTTGTTCCTGATCACATGGGTTGTATAAATACAAATCACAATATAACTATGTAGGGTTTAATTAAAGAATATAATTTAAACAATAAAAATACAAAGAGATTCTTTATCCATTTTTTGGCATTATTTAAGTATTTTACAACTATAAAAAGAGAATGCCCAAAGCTGAAAGATCATTTATTACTTATTTCCAACTTACATAACACAAGATTTTTATTTATTTTAAATGCATACTAGCACTAAATATCCAGCTCTTGCAACTAATAGGCAGTGAGGATTCTAAACATATTGTTGTTGAGAATCTCTAAAAGTAGTTTGTGACTAAATTATTATTGCCATTGATGATCAATAATATCATACACCAAGTGGCTAAAACCAAATTATGGACATATTTAAAAACTTTCTTCAAGAGAAACATAGCTTTTAGTTACTACTGAACGCTGGTGACACAACTTGCACAATCCAAATTTAGTCCTTAGAAAGTGTCAGCTTAATTTGAGCAAATATATTTGATTATTCAGGATGCTGGACATAAAAACCAAAACTAAAATCTCTATTTTTGTTTACCCGGAGACTTTTGAAATATGTTTTCTCAATATAAAGTTATCATTAAGCTTCTGAACCAAGGTAGAAAATAACACCTTAGCTGAAAGTTATGAGCAAAAATATTTTTACATCCCAGATGCTGTGTGCTTGTTGTTACACACTGCGCTGGACAACATGCAAAGACTCACAAAGACATTCAGTGCCTCTAAGTATCTACGGCATCAATGATAACGCTTCAAATGAACAGAAAGATAGAGTAGATTTAAAATAAAATTTTAAAAAATCCTGTGAAGAGGTAGGATTTTAATACCTTATATAGCTGAAGGTAAAGGTTTTTATGCATTTCAGAGGTGAGGAACAAAAATACATAAAATCAGAAGGGAGAAACCATTTTAGTCTTACAGGTAAGAGTGGTAAGATTAGGGAAATCAGCTCATTCACTCATTCATTCAGTCAGTATTTATCGAGAGCTTACTATGTGCTGGGCACTATGACCAGCTAGGTCCAATCAAATCAATTTGGTAATATTCCTCTTCACAGAGCTGAGTAGCAGAAGTTGCTTCTATTATAAAGAATAGGTAGATTAGCAGAAAAACAAGGTGTTACAGTAGCAGAGGGTCAAAGTCTTAGAAATGGAAGTCATCTGTGCAAGTTTATGCTGTGAGCAGCTGGTCAAAGCAGCAGGAATAAAGGATAAACAGTGGTAGGGAAGACAGAGTGGGCACGAGGAAGACAGTATCAGAGAGGGGACAGATGACAAGGAGACTGGACATTAGACCAGTATAAATCAGTAATAGCATTAGATTAAAAACAAGAAAGTACAGACATTAGTATAAAGTTACAGCTTCAGAAATTGGGAAAACATTGTTTTGTAATTTCCCCTCTTACACAAAGCATCAGGGGATCCTATTCACTGGCATGACGTCTTACCACTCACATGGTTTAGCACACATGGACACATATGATGGGCTTTCTCTCAAACAGGGCTTAAGTGTCACATTCTCACTATTGCTCCCCTGAAGAGGCTTTTCCTGGCAGCCCTACCTGAAGTATCACCTCCCCTGTCACTTTCAATCACTGCATCATGCTGCCCTCCTACAAAGCACCTACCCCGACCTGCAGGAGTTATTATTTCGTCATCTAATGTTTGTCTTCCCAATCATAATGGCAGTGCCAGGGGGTTGGGACTTCCTTTGTCCTTTGTGTAACTGTATCCCAGAGACTACTGTAGTGCCTGATGTGCATTAAAGGCTGAATAAATACTTACCATTTTAAACAAATTTACTTCCTCAATTCAGTCTGACACAAAACTTTATGGATTTGGCAAGATAGAGAGTTTAGATTTCATCTTACAGTGATCGAAACTGTTGACTTGTCTAAGATCGTAAGAGTAAATATGGTGGTGTTCAAATTCAGACCAGATAATTTGATGCTTAATTTAGGAATGTGAGCAAGGGGGTGTGGGGGGGGGGAAGAGAGAGAGAGATAGAAAGTGAAAGAGACAGAGAGGGATCCAAAAATGGAAGTAGAAATACAAATTAAGAGATTTATAAAATACTCTAGAGTTAGAAATCATATGGCCTTTAGAGTAGGCAAGAAGTAAAATTCTGCCAGCCAAACAGATTAATAAGGAACATTCTGAAGTAGAAACTAGAATATACTAAAGTGAAAGCATGTCTGCTGTTTTCAGAAAGAGAGTCTTCCTATCCTAGAAACTACTTCCTCCTTGTCCTGCCTGGAGGTCATGATGCGCACCCCTGGACAACGTCAGACTAGGAAAACATGTGGTCAAAGCATCCAGTGGGAGTGTGGCAGATCATAAATTCACACTGTGCCCAGAACTGCCCATGAAGTGTAAGTGGGCAACTGGTCAGTAGAGCCGGGGCAACTATGGGCAGGATCCCTATGAGACCTCAAGTGTGATCCCGAGGTGTGGCCAGGCAGCTGAGGAGTTGACTGGCAACTTCGAGGCCTGATGCCTGTGATGCCTGTCCCTCAGCACAGGCAGCATGAGAGCAGCCTGCTGGGCAGGAGGAAGTGCAGCTCCCAGGCACACAAAGAGACTGCTGTGCATTAGACTTAGCAGCGGCAGACTTCATAGTGAGGGAGGCAAGCCTTGCTCTGTAATGCTTGGGCTTGAACACAGTGCAGAGGAGGCCAGGGAGCCCAGACAGCAAACAGGCAAGGATCACAAGGGTAGCCCAAGAAACACAGGATGGGGATGGAATGGGATGGGAGGAAAGAAAGACACCTCCCCTTCTGGAAAGGGAGTCATCATAATCACATTTATGTTACATGCATCATAATTTTTTGTAAGTACAGCCACAGCTTGCTAAATGTTTACATGAATCTGTAACAATTTCTTCAATAGTTCTTTAGAAAGAACCAAATTAAAGCACTTCACATAGTGCCTGGCCCTAGCTTAGTACCTGTGTACTGAACAAATCATCACTATTATCACTATTATTGTTATTATTGATATAGTAATTATCATCATCTCCCAAGAACTATATAACAGACATACAGAAATCCATCTGACTCCACTATCCTGGCACGCTGAAAAGTCACAGAAAGAACTGCATGTTACATAATTATCCTCTTAATAAGGACAAATCATCTTGGGCAGCCAGGTGAACATCCTGTATAGAAACTACATCTTACAGAAAATCATCCTGTTAGCATGTCCGGCTTATATATTTACTGGTAGACAGATATCCTATCTCTCTTTTTCTTCCTCTCCACTATTTATATATCAGAATATTAGTTGTCTAAATCTAAAATCATTGTTAATTAAACTACCTCCAAAAAGACAAAACAAAACAAAACAAACAACCCCAGCCTAACAATTGGTGGCAACAAAACAAGAAAGTGTCTGGTCTAGAACGGGGGTGATGGTGGTGGGGGGTTGCAAATATTTCTGGTGAAGGACCAGTAACTA